CCTGAGTTGAGAAGCAAAACTGAGAGTGACAACTACTGCTTAGGTCTGAGTGGAGTTTATTTTGCAGATTTTAGCTGGCCTGAGCAGAGGGTGAAGATGCGATGCTGTAAATGCGGTCGGCGATCCTGCAGGGCTGAGTTTTGCTCTCTGTGCTTCAGTGGCCACAAGCCCAGGGCAGCAAAGGTGCTGGAGGCTGTTCCTCAGCCTCCCTGTTGCTGCCTCTTCTTCGGTTTTGGTCACAGCACTGATCCTGTGTCAGCACCAGAGGTGGGGCTCAGTGCCCTGGGACCTGCTCCAGCCACCCTCTCCAGCACAAGGTCCCTTACGAAGCAGGGACATCAGGAGGTCACAGTGCCCTGACTGCACAACTGGTGCACAAAGTTCCCAGCACAGACCTTCTCCAGCAATTTCCACCGTTTTTTGCCCTAGCACTTGCCAAAAATATATTTTACCAAACAAGAGTTACATCCTTAATGCAGCCAGGAGACTCCCCATGACCCAAGCTGTGATGGATCAACAAGTCCCCACAGCAGGATGAGGCTCAGAGGAGATGAGCTCGGGAAATACACTCATGGCGCTCAGGGAAGAACACAAGGAGTGACCTCAGATGTTGTAAAGAAAGCTGAACTTACCTCAGTGCAACAAGGGACCACACAGTGGCTTTTGTTTTGGATTAATTGCCGTATTGGTTGAGCGATCAACTGGTTGTGTCATTGGCCTGACATCACTGAGAGAATAGAAAATTCGAGTGTCTTTACAAATAGTGATAAAACAAGAAGGGGAGTGTGGGGTTTCTTTTTGTTGTTAGTTGTAGTAGAATTTCCTGTGGAACAAGAAATCAATATACCCCTTTAAGGTTTGGACAATCCAGCTTGTGCTCTGTTTTTGAAGTTTTCTTGAAGAGGGAGTAAACTGTTTTTTGTGAGAACTGTGCTGGGTATGCAAGGACGTATGATAGGATGTTCTAACCACAGCAAGGGCATCTAACACCCCCATGGCTTGATAACATTAAGAGAAAACAAAGCTTATTATAGCTTGCACCTGGTGTGTGTGTACACTGCCTAACTGTATATATATTGGGCTAATTTGAGCAATAAACTGAGGACGGCATGGAATCGTATCTGTGGGATTGTCGTTACTCGGTCAGCTCTCCGAAAGGGACCCTCTTCAGTTAGTGATGGAACAAAGAGGAGAGTGTCCTTCATGAACGAGGGCGTCACAGAATGCCGTCTGTGAGGAGAGCACAGCGAGACCCCTGGACCAGTAGGGCCATTAATTAAGTCAGCAGCAAGGATGCTCTAAACATTTGAACTGTGAGAAAGAGCGCGCAGGCTTCACAGGCCGAGGAATACTGACTTCTCCGCCCTGGGCTGCGTAAAGTTGGAGTTAATGAAACACGGCATGTGTATTGTGAAGGGGGCACAGGTTAAGGGGGAACATGGAACAGGCGGATCGGGAAGCCTGTGCCTCCTGAGTGCCTCAGCCAGTGGGGAAAGGGAGAGGGTTTCACGTGGCAGGGAAACTGGAATAAAAGGAGGAAACTGGGATAAAAGGGGGCTGCGTCCTCCGGCAATTTGAGAAACCTCACTGGGCCTTGGCAACCCCAGTGAACTCTCCCTTTATTCGAACAAAGTTAAGACTCCTCTGTCTTCTTTGTGAACACCGACCTCTGGCACATCACCAAAAGGTGTGAATGTCTTCCTGAGCCAGGGGGCTCAGCCCAACATGAAGCGTGGAAACTGAGCAACCAATAAAACAAACTTTGAAGAGCGCTGTGGGCTTGAACAGGCTCCAGCCCACATATTTCTTCCCAGCAACTGCAGACACCCAGCATCACGACAGAGTCAAGTAATGGGAATTTATTTCACGTTGTGATCCAACTGCTCTATCGTGCTCGTATCGTGATTGCTCCTTCGCTCTGTTAAGTTAAAATCCCACCTATATCAAATGTCTTCAAATAAGTAAATGTGGTGATAATGCATTAAACCCTCTGCATGTGGAGTATCTCAAGGAGCATGGTCAGCGCGTGTTGGACAAGAGCAGTGCAGGAGCCTGCAGGGACCATTGTCAGGGGACGCCTCACCCCGTGATGTGCATCGCCAGGGGCAAACAGATAAAGCAGCACAACACAGAACCGTCTGAAATGTGCACCCCTTTGCAGCACTAAGGGAAGGTGGGGAAAATGCAAGAAGACAGGGACCTGTGCAAAGGAGTCTGCACAACCCCCCTGCTAAGGCCAGGCCATGACTTTATGCAAACAAGGGACAGGAGGTGGTGCTCCTTTCTGATCTCGATGCGCCTTAATTTTTGGTCACTTCAACAAAACAAAGATAAAAAGAAACCAACAACCTTGTGTGTATCAAAAAGTAAAACTCTAAATATATTTATTATTCAATTGCATTAGCTTTTCATTGCACAATTTTTGTTTTTATCCCCATGTTTTACAGTGGCTTACAAAGCTGTCAGGAGTTCTAGAAACTGTTAAAATGATCACTTGAGTGTATTTAGGCACGGTTCATCAACAGGTAACTCCGTTTCCTCCACTTTTTTTCTCTGTGTGAAAGATTTATGCTTGTATTTAAGCTCCAAATTGAAATACATTTCACAGTCTACATTTTTATGGGCATATTGTCTAAAAAAGAAGATTTGATTAAATAGTCTTGCTTTATCAAACATTGCCACCAAAGCCTAAACAAAAGCAACTTCTTTTCCAGAAATGCTGAAATCAACACAACCCTAAGAAAAGAACCACAGTGGCTGACCAGTTTCTATTCTAGTCAGTCACAAGATAACAAAGAAACAGTCAGAAGGATTTAAAAATCCCCTGGAAAAATTAGTCGAACTTGGAAATAATTTAAATAATTTATTCAGTATGAAAAATAAGCAAAAAAAAATCCAGCAAACAAACGAGGTGGTGGCGGCAAGGGAAGTGTCATGTCCCCTGGGCTGCTGGGGCTGTGTTGGTGCTCTCTCTGCTCACAACGATGCTTGAAAACCTGCATCACAGCCCTGGGGCCACCCTCTGTGGAAATGGCTTTGAGGCTTGAGGCTGAGGAGCTGTGAGCTGCTCGGTTTCCTACAGAGCTCCTCTCTTTGGTGAGAAAGCCTGACGGGTGTCAGAGCCACGGGTTGGGTTAAAGCTCTGTGTCTGGGGTGAGCAGCTTTGGGTGTCGCTGCAGAGAGCTCCCAGGGCACAGGAACATCCTTCTAGAGGGCCTGAAATGAGCTGAACTCTTTCAACACCTTTTTCACACAAAGAGCACTGCCAAATGTGACCGATGCTCAAGGACTCATCCCAAAGAACACAAACAATTGCTCCGTCTCTACACGCTGCAGAAATAAACAACAACATTTCAGCACCCACAGACGCTGTAGCTATTCAGAAACAAATTAAACATATTTGAAAGCTGGATGAGGCCTTTGCAACAGAGGACAATGGGTGCTGAAATCTCTGCGTGACTCACATAGGAGAGGGTTCTGAGTGCCCACGAGCTGCTGGCTCTGGCTTTCACCAGAGGGGCAGCTCACGTGAGCACGGGCAGTGCACAGCCTTCAGTCCCCTTGAGTGAGCCCTGCTTGGCGAAATTTCTGACTACACAGATTATTATTTTTTTTTAATTACTTTTAATATTTTTTTTTTATTTTTTTTAAGACTTTGCAAAATCATCGGGCTTCAGGGCTCTAGCAGGGCATTCCTACGTGTGTGATACCAGAGGTGCGCGGCTGCAGGTTGAGCAGCAGTTCCTGGCTCTGCTTGGGTGCAAGACATCCCCGCAAGTCCCACATTTCAAGCAAGGAAAAACACCCTCCCCTCGGAGGCTGCTGCTGTGCTCAGACCCCAAAGCAGCTGAAGCCTGCTGTCCCCACACCACGGGAACAAGCGGGAGATAGAGCAGGATCCAGCAGAGGGCTGGGCAGCACCGCCGGGA